TTTTTCCGTTTTTTTAGCTTAAGTATTATGCGCCGCCGTGCGGTACGCTGAAACAAGTTGAAACATCCACCAAAGAGAGAGAGGTGCGACGCGACAGGACAATGGAGTCACGTGCTTTTTTTTTTACGGAGCAGGCAGCCGGGCGGAGGGGATGGCGCGACATGCGTTGCTGCGCCACCTGCGGGCGACGCTGTTGGCGCTCGCTCGAGGCTGCCTCACAAGGGAGCACACCATCGCCGAGACACCCGCTCGGCCTGCGTGACACGGAACACAAAACACACGCGGCGAGCACACACCGGGTTACGTCGGTAAAACGTTCGCGCGCACAGCAAGTGCGGCGACGCAACCGCCAGCACTGCCCCCAGTGTGCAGTGCATGTTATAGCGCGGCCATGCAATGACGCGTCCACGCTAAGCGGTCGAGCGGGTGACCTGCACAACGCAAATCGGCAATGAGCGATGACCGAACTCGGAATTTTATATGTAAGCAAGGCAATGCGATGATACACACGGCATGCAGATTTCCAGCTCTGCACAATAAGACACTTCACATCGTATGGTGAGGCCGCTCAATTACCCATCCACACAAAGCAGCCACACAGTGACCTGCACCGCACAATCAACAATGTTGCACAAATGCAGCCGCAAATATCCACAACTAATGTAGCCAAACAAATCAGCCGCACAATGCAATGCAGGAAAATAACATACTCCATGGTACAAGCCACAACTTTCCAAATCATATATAATATACGCAATCATTCACCCAACACATAGCTTTATATTCAAACGACTATTTTAAGAGTGCCGTCATGCAATTACCCACACCACACTGCAGCAATGTGACGCCGACACCCAGTCAAAGTATCGTTTATTTCCTTGCTACACACTTCGGCAATGCAATCATTCACATATCTCAGCCACAAATCAACCGTACCCACTTGACAAATTAAGCATTTGGGGTTACAAGGTTTCTACTAAGAGCATTACCTTATCACAAGCAATATTGGTGATAAAGCGGTGACGCACAAGGCTAGACTCAAAAGTCACGCAACATGATTGCAACTTCTGCAAAACCTTCACATCTCCTGAGTCCAACAAATGGCTTTGGCAGTGGTGGTGCCAGTAGCGGTGGGATTAGCATTGAGAGAGCACAAGTAGTAATCTTGATCCAGGCAGGCTTGTTTGTTTGTGCTAGTGCAGTGCACTGGACCACTTTCAAACACCCAGATTCTAATCATGTTTCTGTTCAAAGTGGAGACCTCACTCAGGGGGGTGATGGCTTCAGTTTTGTGACAAGGTGGGCTGAAAGGGCTCATTGAATGTTCAGAATACTGCATTTTTGGCAAGATGTATTATTGTTATACATTTTTTATAGTAACATTTCTGTCAAAACAATCTATTTAAGAAATCATCATTTACATGCAATTAGTTATTATTTATGCACCCAGAAAAGCCTTCAGAGTTTTAAGAGGGATTTTTGGCCAACAGTTGACGTGTAGAAGAAACCAGCACATCCAGATAGAAAAGTTTACAATGAAAACCGAAAATATTCGGAAAGAAAAACACTGCCGCAGAAGCTCCAGCACGTGGCGAAACGTTGGACATCGTGCCGAATAACATGCGGTACAACCCAAAAACACATCAGAGGGCTGTACAGCAGCAGCGCAACTTGCTGAAGAAGCCCTCAACACGGGAGGAAAAACGTCGGACATCGCGCTCAAACAGCACGCGGTACAACCCACAAACCTTTTGAGTCATCGTTGCTCAGTGGCTCCTCAAATAGGGGGGGGAAGGGGGGCACGTCGTGCCACCGCTCACCTTATTTAATTTTCCGTAAACAATTTTGATTGTTGTTCAAGTGCCAAGGGTACAGAAGGAATAACAGAGGAAGGGCCGAGACATCGTGTAACAAACGAAGGGGCTTGACGGCAACGGGTAGTCGCTCACCTTATTTTGACGGGGAGGGCGGACGGCGCTCCCGAGCGGTGGAAGTGCACGTTGCGCCAGCGTCCGTCGCGACGGTGCCACACGCCGCTTTCCTCCGACTGCTGGGTGCGCGGCAGGCCCGAGCCGTCCAGGTACTGCGTTAGGCGCACGTAGGCGATGCAGCCCGCCTCTCGCCGATCAGGTGCACGTGCGGGTTCAGGATCGTTGTGTGGATCGGGCGCGTGTTCTTGGACAGGACTGGTGGTGGTGACGAGAAAAGAAAATTGTGAACTTCCGCATCGATGAAAGGAACAGCAAAGGCTCTCGTACTGCCACCTTCTTGCGAGCCAAAAGTCAAGTAACTGCATTGGGAAGGCCGAGCGGGTTTCCTTTCCCATGCACTTCAATTCTGCGCTTCCTCTCCCCAAAGCTCCTTTTTTTACATTACCTGATTATTTCACAATGGGCAAAAAAAAATTAGTTTTGGCTTCTCTTCAATAAAATGCTTAAATGCTTTAGAATCAGGGCCATGCTTAAAACAAAACTAAATTGGTATAAAAAGTGCACTGAAATGGGCCTTTGGAATCTTTGTGACATAATTACGAGAGGTCTAACGATTCATCACGAAGAACAATTGAAGAACTATCACAATTCAGTGTCGCAACACAATTAAATAATCAATATTTGTTTCATCACTGTGGTTAATGGCAGTGCCTCTAGTAGCTGTTGGGCTCAATGCACCCATTACATCAATGTTTAAACACGTGATCCAATGTGAGGAGCTTTAAGAAATAATGTGAATTTGTGAATTGATGCATCGTTACACCTCAAATAAAATCCACAAATGAAGCTATTTTTCTGTGGTTTAAATAAGGGCTACTGCATGGTTTAACAGTGTCATGCACACAACATACGGTTTTCAAAGTAGAATTTGTGGAAGTCCATCCCCTCCACCAAGTTACCCAGAGCTTCGGGCTCGAAGGAGGTCAAGCCGGGGTCACAAATCTTCCTGCATGTGGCGCAATACGCAGCAAGTGAACAAAAAGCAAAACAAAATACAATTGGTACAAACAATTGCTGAAAATTGACAGGCATTTGATAACTTCAAATGTTAATAAATGTTGTTTGCCATGATAGCATTTTGCTATTCCCGTATTATAATAATTGACCTTAAATGTTGATAATGTCATCCTCAACATTAGCAAAATAAATCCTGGACATCAGACAACTCAGGGAGGGTTCTTTAATAAATCAACTGCAGTAACAAAAGATTTCAAATCCTGCAATGAAAAGGCAAAAATTCAATGGCAGGGTTATAGCGGCAAACCCTGCTTAATATTTCGTGCACATGACTGCCATTAATTTGGCCATAAATAGAGGACCCCGCAACGGACGAGAAATAAATGACCGATTAAATAAAAGGGGGGTGGGGGTGGGGTGTAAATCGCTGACGTGTGGAGGCTGATGCCGCTCGCTTACGAGTAAGCCTCGAAGTCGCCATTGTTGATGGCGTCGATGAGCTGCTCCGTCACCTTGATTATCTCCTGCTTGCGTGCTGCGGTCGCCAGGCAACCATGCAAGCGAGCGGCGTGGAACATAACGAGGAGCGGGGGGGGGAAGAGAGATGAATGTGGGAGGCGAGGATTGTGCGGCGGTGGAGGGGGGGCGGACAGGAATGGAATGGGTAGCAAGGACAAGAGCGTAAAGCAACAATTGGAATCGGGGGTTAAGCGACAGACGTTTTTATTTATATATTAATATATTCCATGCAGCAGAGGTGTATTATGGCAAACAATTACAAGGGATCAAACAAAATGAATGCAATTAAGGAGACGGCAGTCAATAAGAGGAGTGCAATTCAACAAGTGCAGGGGATGTCGAGGCAGAGCAGTTTAAAATGTCACGTGTGTGCGGGGAATAAGAGAAAATATCTCGGGTCAATTAAGCGTTCACAAACACGGAAAACCAACAAATTGCACACTGTTTAATAAGCAATCACCATGGTTTGCGTTTTTCTGGACATACAAAGCTACGGAAATGTGTTCTGTCAACCCTGTTTACTCTCAAGCATTGTATATGCGATACTCTGGCACCAGGTGTTGAGACAACCGAATGTGTAATTGCTGAGATATGTAATTAAAAATGCTATTTTAATGTGTTAGTTTATCTATGCAAAACATCTGGGCTTGGATGACACCTGGGCTTGGATGACAGAACACACCAAAGCAAATTCTAGGCTGCACATTGTTTAACAAGAACCTTCACTAAAATAACTGGAGGAATGTGTATGGAGGCGAGGACAGCTACACCACATCACTGAGCCAATACTTTGTGTCAAAATGAAAAGGATAAATAACAAAACCTTCAAATGAAAGCAATGGTGATGTCTGTCTCAAATAAACAAATCATACCGATATATAAAACCAAACGCAAACACCAAAAGAAGGGGGAGAAGCATGCAAACTATGGCGAGACATTTACGAGTCTGTATACTGAATGCGCAAACACACACAGCAGCAAAATATCTACCTGCTTACTAATCCAGACTCTATTTTAAGCTTCCCATCCATGCTCATAGCAAATTATTCCACTGGCATTGATGTTATTACACGGCGAAGCCAGCTAACCAAGGCAGACTATTTGGCTCAGGCACAGATATGCAAAGCCCGTGGGTTCCGCACTGCAATTCTGTTCTCTCCTCTAACGCTTCCCCGTCGCCGAGCCCAGCAGCAAGGTGACTTTGACACTATTTTATAATGGATCATTTAAATACATTCACAGACAGACACACAAATACCTGTTGACATTTCCAAAAACTCTTTCAGCAACTCCGTCACGAGACACCAGGCTACGAACGTGTTGTCGAATTTAGCAAATTTCCAGAGTGCCGAGGAGGCGGCTACTCACCATTCAGCTGACTCTCTATGTCTGTATCCCCCTACTGCCACAAGCCAGCGTGACTATGTGACGCAACAGCCTGGGGGACTCGGGTTACCCCAAAGAGCATCCCTTTTCACAATGGCAATGATACTGGCGCTGGGTCACACCATAATACAATGCACATTTTCACCAGCAACACCGGGTATCGGTTTCCAAACTTGTCAAGGATCCCCTATTTTCAAAAAGAACCAATTGGTTTACTAGTCACGGATGTCCAACGCCTCTGCCTCCCATAAAATATGTATTCATAAAAAAACTCTGCTCGGTTCACAAAATGAACTCTCAACTCCTACAAAACACGTTATAATTATTATTATTGCCAACATCTTGGAAATCGCCCTAAAGAGTGCTCCTCCCACAGCTTGGCTGCATGCAAGCTTTCCTCACATTCACTCATTCCCCTATGACTTACACTGCACGGAGTTGGAGCGATCGGACTCAGAAAGCTGGAGCGAGTGGCTTTTGGGTGGGCTTAACCGTCGGGCTCGTATTAGCGCTAGCATTAGCCAGGGCCGCTGGCTCCGTCCGTTTAACTGCGCTCGATTGCTCTGCACTTTTCGCGGCTGCATGCATCGGGCAAGGAGTGGAGGGAGGAGGGAGCAGTGTGGGTAGGGGATGGGGGGGGGGTGGCGGGAGTGTGGGGGCATCACACCAATCCAGGCGAGTGTTTTTTGTTTAGGGTGAGGAAAATAAAAGGGTACGGAGGGGGGGTGGAAAGGAAACACACGCACAAAAATGAGCAATGACAAAAAAAAGGAATAAAACTAAACATGATGAGGTACAAAACATGCAGGATAACTCAACTGTGGGAACATGGTGTAATAACCGGCAATGACCATCGTTATGCAATGATTACTAAACCCAATATATCCGTTCAAAACAGCGGGATCCTATGAACACGAGCGCTGCTGTAATATTTCACTGTAAGTGGCTCTTCAGCACCGCACACTCATTAATAATTAAGTCTCGACACCAGCACAGGCGTATCATATTTGCAGCACAACTGTACAGGGGAAAACCAAGAAACACGAAGAGTGCGGCGGGGGACTGCAATCACAATGTGAAGTTATGAGCAGAGACAATTTTGAAAATCAATTCAATTTGTTTTGTTTTCATTTATTCCCACATGGCCCTTTAGGTCACATCACTGGATCGCCTCACTTAATCAGCATCTCCCTCGTACGCTGCTCGGCAGCCAGAAGGCGTCTTTGTCTGCTGGGCACATTTACTCCACGTATTGTTTAAAAATTTCAGCTCGCCGTGTTATGTTTGCGCTCGTTATGAAATGGCAAAAATTGCAAGTTAACAGCCGTTTCGGATTGCGACTCACCTTTCACGTCTTCATCCTCAATTGTAGTATTGCTGCTCTCGGAAGATTCCTGCGTAGAAGGCCAAACAAAGTACAGGCAGTTAGTACATATTGTTAAGAAGATAATGCTCCTTTTTTTACACAACTTGGCATGTCATATTTGCCTCAACATAAATTGTCAAACATTTAGAAGTAAATATTTTTTTATCGGTGTGAAATATTAAGATCACTTTCAATTCGTGTAATCAGTCATAAAAAATAACAAGAGTGTTGTATGATATTGTTACGGTAAAAAGGTTAATTGCTCGTGTGAAGCAATCCTAGAAAAGGAATGTTCGATAAGTGTCAGTTTTAACCACAGGACAGTGAATTTTTTTGCTTTTACGAAATATTTTTTCCAACTCATGCTCTTCACTAATTGGGGCGACCAGTCAGTAAATGGGGTACACACTGGATGTTATTTCATAATAAAGTTTTTTGGGTTAGTCACGTTATTTATAAATGTGTCGTAACCCTCCACCACCCGACACGGCCAATCAGCAAAAAAGTGTCACGTTGACAAAAGACAAATAGTTGACTACTTTAGCCCACCGGTGTGTTGAAGAGTGAATCCACACATTTACAGTTTTTTTAAATGATGACATCACCTTGCTGCTCTATTTAAAACCGGGAGCAAGTGAGGGCTTCACCATTCTGGCGAATTGCCCGATGATGCTGGATGTAATTACCAGCGAAACGTCGTACTAAAAAAACTCTTCAACACACCGGTGGCTAAAGTAGTGAACTATTTGTCTTTTGTCAACGTGACACTTTTTTCCCGATTGGCCGTGTCGGGTGGTGGAGGGTTATGACACATTTATAAATAACGCGATCTAACCCAAAAACGTTTATTATGAATAATATTGTTCGCGAAAGCCTACGTGTTAAACTGGATGTTATCTCTGTATGTGCGTGTACAAACAGTAGTGACAATGTAACAATATATGTACTATGACACACAAATGGACTAAAGGACAAATACAATATGAGGCAGGAAAAAAAACCACGTTAAACATTTAGGTTGTTATAAAAAAACACTGCTGTTGATATAAACAAAAACACGTGTAAGCATTCCACAAAGGACTAAAGGAATGGTACACAGAAAGCATGAAGGGCAAATGGTAAAAACAAAACAAGTAATGAAGACGTACAAAAAAAGAGACTTTTAAAGCAATAAAAGTTAATGAAATTCAATAAGAGACAAATACACCACTGCATGGACACATTTGTAAATGATGAAATTAGACCACTATATCTTCGTGTGCGACAATCTTTCGGTTATCTCTCCTTGGAAGAATTAAACATTTCACCAGAATTGTTTTATTATTTTGTATTATTGTTGCTGTAAACCCAAATGGTGGATTTGCATACAGTTCAACAAATCGTCGTATTAAACATGAAAGTTCAACAAAGAGTATCCAGTTTTTTTTTTACTACATGCCAAACGAAAATATGTCTCAACTGTACACGAAGAGCTGCCATGTCCAAGTACACGACATATCTCTAAGTGGGAAATCCGAAATATCCGAGTTGCAAGGTGGCAATGTTACGGTAGTCATGCTGCACAACGTTTAGCTAGTGGCCATGCCTTTAAAGAAAGAGATGCCTCGGTCATACCAACTCCATGCGATTAGCTTTGAATCGGTGCTTCGTGATCAGCAATCCTCAACCGTCACTTCAGTTTAGCCTTTCCTTGGCTGCCAACTGCAAATTTGTACTTGTTACCAAGTTTATCCTCTCACTCGCAAGAAAAGAAGGCACAGAAGGCCGGAGTGAGCAAAAGCAGCGGCGATTGAGAACTGTTGGTGCACAGCTTAGTACATCATGCGACCGCATGGAAATTAATAAAGACAGACCTGGTTTGGTGTTTAATCTTAAGTCTGATTTATATTTCTTTTGAAAACGTGATGGGTGAGAGTAAGCTGTTGTGTGCATTCACACAGGAGTAACTTTAGACTTGTTTTGACAAGGCAAGTGTCTCTTTAAAGTAAGCACAACTGTGAAGAAAATAAACATGCACAAGACATAATGAATCAAAGAATTTAGGAAAACCTTTGTTTTTTAGTTCAATCGGAGCAACTACTGCACCATCCATTATATTTTAAATGACCTTCTGTCACCGCATGTTTATATCGTTTATTGTTGAGAAATGTCCACAATGGAAAATAAAGGCTTTCCATCCTTTTTGCAGAGTAATGAGAGAGCAATTACAAGTTCATTCACGTTCCAGCAAGATGCATTCATGTCACCAGGACGATGGCCCACTCCAACAAGATGCACATTTCCCCCTCTATGCAAAACAATGCATCCTTTCGTGGCATTGTTAACAGAAAAACAAACCCATGCCTCCACATGCCGCATATGGAAAGTGTCTTTTGAGATATTATCCTATCTAACACGACTCTTGAAAATCACTGCTCCAGACGTCACATGGCAATGCATATTTTTTAGCAATTTTAAAGACTAAGAAAATGAGTGTTATTTTGATTTAAATGAAGACGAGTCGAACAAAATAGGTCAAACAATCCAATATAAGGCTGCCAGAATAATTCATTGTGATTAACTTCAGAGACAGCTGAGTATTCACAAAAGTGAAATTAAATCTGGTGCAATATGGCACTTCAATAGCCAAGTACAACATTGCACCTATGACGAGATTGTCAACTATTTTTTTTCATATTCACACTCATATCAAAGTTTCTGTTTTTAGCAAGCATAATTATGAACAGAGATGACATCATTTGGTGTCGATAATTTGTTTTTATTTATGGATATTGTTGGTGCAATAAAATATTGGGCGATCAAATCAATAATTATTCGTGGATTTCTATGGGGGCATTATTTATATTGTGGTGCTTTTAACAAATATTTTTTCTCTCAGAAGCCTACCGCATTCTTTAAAAATGTGAAAAACAAAAGTATGCTTTGCAGACAATTTAAAATGCGAGCAAATAAAACCTTGGACGGTTAAACAAAAACGTAACGCAAGAAGCCAGCCAACACACACACACACACCCCCAAGCATGGCAGTAATGCGTGATTACACACAATGATAAATTCATAGTTTTGGTGTCTAAATGTGAAGTCAACCCCCCAAAAGCGATGCTGCTAATGTGGACAAGGAAGCACTCAAATAATAATTGGTGACTTGTGCAGGACAGACTTTGATCCCTGCTGGGCAGTGGTCAAAGTTTATAGAATGAGTACCATGGACAACACCATGGCTTACAAAAAAAATACCTTGGCTCCATTTGACGGATTGTGGATAACAGTGGTCTGAGGCTCCTGAAGAATGAGTGAAGTAGACAAGAGGGTTAAGTAGAATACCGGTTGTATTTAATCCTTCCTAACGTGCCAAAAATGCATTCCGTGGTCAATGCCAACTACAAGTCCCTACATTGGTTTCATGTGTGCTAAACAGGGCTGTGATTTTCATGAACATTTTGTGGTGTTAAAACCGTCTGGGTCATGTATATGGACACAAAGGGTGTTCGTTCGTTTGCGTGCAAATAAAGTGGGATGTGCATCGCAAATGCATGCATTACCAGCCGTTTGTTTTACCCTTTACCATATCAAATGCAAAAAAGCTTAAGCAATGACTAAACCCAGCTAGATAATTTGAAGTGCTCATTTTTTTTTTTTTTACAAAATTGTACTCATTTTTTAGAGTACTACTACTTGGGAGACTTTAATTTGAAGAAACATTTAAACGTTTTGGCTATTTTATACAATGCCAAATGTCTCCAAAAAAGAAAGATGTGAAATTAAAATAAAAATGAGCAGTTCTGTGAATTTGTACCAATACTGTTCATTCAAGTCACCTTACTTTTTGCTCAAAAGTATACAGAAAGAACACTGACACACTACCGAATTCTTACTCACTTTACATTAAAGGTAAATTACACTTGGAAGACGACTCATCCCTGAAGTCTGGTCATTCAATGGATGGCGTGCAATCATGCAAGTGTAAGACTGTTATTACAAGTACAACATTTTTGCAAGGTGTATTTTTTATGCAAAGTTTAAAATAAAATTAAATGCCATTGAGCCAAGGTCAGTTTTAAAACTAGGATAAAAAACTAAAAGGCAAACAAAATAAATAAAGTTTGTAATAAATAACACACACAAATCGCCTTCTATAACGATTTCAACTCACTTAGCGCAATTACAAAGTTTAGTATTGAATATAACCAAAAGCAAAATGAATATCGGTGTGTATATAAATTATCATTATTGATTGATGAGTGGATTAGCACTGTCAGCCACCATCATAAACAGTGGAGATCAAAATTAGGCAATTAGAGAACTGTGAACAAATGCAGCGGCTAATCAAACGATGAAAATGGCATTTTCATAGCAAAAAAGTTATGATTTAAGATTCAGATAAATACACCACACACAAACGTGTGTGTGTATATAAAATAGAGTCTTCACGTTAAAAGAATAATATAAAGAAACTAAAGTCACAAAAGCCATGCAAAACTATCAACATATGTTGCTACTCTAAAGTGAACTCATGGTGCACTGTAAAACAAATCCCAACGTGAAGGGAGGAAAACTGGAGGATAAATCAATGTTCATCGCAAATAAAACACGGTTCAACCAAATTACTTAAATCGTTAAACAACAACGAAAAACAACCAAACCAGCTAGGGCAGACGGAGGAAAACAAAATTCCCCTCGCGTTAACAATAAACCTAACAAAAATGTTAGAACTGCGTGACAATGTTACACTACTTCATAGAGAAAATAAAGGGAATTAATGAACCCAAATCAAACGTAAAAGAAAACACAAGCATGCAGTACCAGTGCTGGAGAAGGGGAGCCCTCTTTCCACTGCTCGCTACACTGGCTGCTGTGTTGTTCTGCTGTCGTGGCAGAAAACGGTGCGTTAAAATACTTTTACTGCTCACGCCATCCCCCCCCTTGCCCACCTGGGGAGATAAATGGCTCCCCCCCACTGCAAAGCAATGTGCCCGGTGAGAGTTTTTAAACTCGGCTCTTACGCTCGTGAAAAATGCGTTCCGTTTCCTCAGCATTGACTTAACATTTTGTGCGTACGCATTTGTTTACCCGCAAATTCAAATCTTTTAGCAAAAAAATACATTCAATAGCATTTCACCCCTGCCTTCATCCCCCGGGTTTAACTACAATTTTACGTAACGCTGCATAACAATCGGACAAAGTGGTTCTGACATAACTTGACGGCAAGCTGCAATTCAAATACATGAACCTGCACAGGAATAACTTTCAAAAGTTACACTTTGACCCCGTACAGTATTATTGCAGACAGATTGGATGACTTTACAGTGGAAAAGTGGAAAACACTACTTTGGATGGGTTGTCATGAAAACGCGTACATAATAAAAACAAAACAAATATTGACGTTATTTGGTAAATGAGAAAACAAGAGTAAAGAAAAAAACAATGAAACAGAAACAGCTAAATACACCAAGTAAAAAATCAAACACAAAGTGAAATGAATGTTCGCACATTGTGCCCGAGTGTTTTCCATTCACTTCAGGCTTCATGGTTTGTTACAGACTACATCATAGTATGATTTTACTTGTTATAACTCATTTAGAAAAAGTCTAATTATGTATAGGAAGAAACCCCTCCGAGTGCAACCGGCATTCTGTTTGCATGCACGTGCAGAAATAAACGGCACCAAAACTCAGGGTCGTTGTTGGGAAGGAGGAGGAAGAGGAGGAGGAGGAGGGGTTTGGGGGTGGACTTTTTAACAAAACAAGAAAAGCGACGCACAAGTTTTGGCATGCGAGAGACACATGCGATGTCACGACACGGCAAGGCAACGGCTGGGAGGACGCGATGAAAAGGGTGTGAAAGCCACGATGCAATTCCAATCAAAAAAGATGGGACAGGAATGGACAATATCTAGCAATATTATGTTTAAAAGGACAATTAATGAATCATAATTTAATGTTTTTTTCTCTCATTTTTTTTTACTCACAAATATTTGTTTTTGTTAATTTACACTTGTTACTATTTGCTATTGTTTTGAAAAACAAGATGGTTCTCAACAGTACCTGAACACTTGCACTGGACTTCCGTTTCTGAATGTAAACCCCCCACAAACCCCCGAGTAGCAGAATGTCGAAGGGGGGCGGAAGCAGCGATATCAAAGAGCAAATTGTAGCCGTTAGTCACATATAAACCACACATGGCAGCACGGCAAGAAGGCTTTTGGACTGACGGCAAGCGCAGCCTTGGCAGCGATGTTTACAATTTGGAACAAGCGATTCACAAAAGTAAGAATATCCATGAGATATATAACAAAAACAATACGGCTCGGCTTGATTATCTTAAGCTGCAAGGCTGTAAGCGTGCTCTTTTGTAGACGATGCCTTCATACCTTGTTGCATGCTGACATAGCAAATAAACCCTCTCAGTATTAAGTGCTTAGTTTATTCGAAGAGTATACACAATGCACTCCATGGAATCATCTAAATACAGCAGCATTCAAGTGTGAACTGGATATTTCCGTATTATATTGTAAAAGGGAAAAGAAGAGTAAGGGGTATATTTAATTATTCCATGTAGAGCATTTTTTTCTCCTTTCATTTACTTGGCATATGCGTTAGAGGTTTGTTAAAACTGTACTGTGTGCGGCAGTGGCCTCATGAGTTTTATTCTTTTCATAAAGCACTGAAGAGAGAATTTAAACATAGGCACATTTCTTTTTTTTAAGTAGCACATATAGTTGATATGGTACACATGGATAGTCATTGTTAAATACATAAAAGTATAAACAAAAGACTAGGTTTACAGTGACATCAAACAATCACAGCAGACATGCAAAATGTGACGTTTGTCGACAATACCCAGCGTGTTATTTGTCACATTCAGAACTTTCCTTCACATGTCATTGGATTAATAGCCCATAATATATATTTCATAAGCAGCACTAAACAAACAGCATATTTGCAAGCCCTTACGACAACCTCAAGGCCATTACGCAATATATTAACACAGATGATAAAACCATTAGGATTTAAACATTACATTGCTGAAACGCTGAGCATGTAAAGTTAAGCACTGAGCACAGCGTGAATTTTGCTGGCTCACCTTAACGCCATCCTGAGTTTTCTTGTTCAGAAGACTCTTGGCTGCTACAAGGGAACACACACCGCACCATTAGTAATGTGCAATCAATGCTATAAACTGAAAGCAGGAGGGAAAAACCCAATATCAGTAATATTACACAATTTTTCCTCATTCCATTCGGACAATCTGTTGAAAATGTATTAACGAAAAGATTGTACACATAGGTAAAGTCACATAGAAGGGAAATAATAAAATAATAAAAATAAAACATAATAAAATACAATTCTCACGACGTTTCGGCCACAACGCAAGCAGCCGTCCTCAGGTGAAGATTTAAAGCTTTCGTGACTGTCTTTCCGACAGACCTGTTCTTCACCTGAGGACGGCTGCTTGCGTTGTGGCCAAAACGTCGTGAGAATTGTATTTTATATGATTTTATTTTATTATTTTATTATTTCCCTTCTACGTGACTTTACCGAAAGAACCAAGAAGATGAATCCCTGCAGACACAAAAGCTTTAAATCGAAATTGTACACATATTTATTCATTGCAATAATGCTAATCCAGTTTGGGGAAAAAAGGCTACATTTCAAAAGGAATGGATGACTTGGGAGAACAGCATGATCCTCAATGAAGAGAGGCCCACATTCTCCATGGAGAGCATTAGCTGATGTCACAAAGACACTGCGTTGATGAACATGACGTAAACGTGCATCGACAAAAACTATAAGGGGCACCCTAAAATGTGACCGTATCCCAAGATGCTGTACAAAAATAGCGTGAATACTTGTTTTAAAGAGGGGCAACCAGAGGGAATGTTTTACTTCAACAGGGGACAGGGAGTCAAATACAACAGGAGCAGCAGAATAAAATAAGCAACCTCCCACCGAGTTCCTTACCTTGGACAGGAAGTGCATCCGCGAAGGGTACAACAGAGTACAGTTGGTTGGAAACATGAGAAAGGAAGAGAGACAAAGACATAGTTTAGTTTACTGTTTAATCTGCAGAGAAGACCTGGGCAAATGCAAAATGCCACGACTGAATGAAGGTGCACCGTGGTCCAAATGTAAGAGAGTTGTATGAATTTTGTGTTTCCTCATGCAGAGTTGGTGAGCACTTTTAAAATGCCCTCCAAGAGTGATTTAAAAACCATCATGCGTAGCACAAGCAAAGACATCCACCACTAAAGGTTGCACAACAGTCAATTGTGGACATGCAATGTCTTCTTGGTAATCTGCACCATAGGTAATTGAAATTACTGAAAGTATGTTCCCCCCCCCACCACCATCCCATTGTTTTAACATTGAAATGCCCTGCCAAAGTTAAAACATGTGCACAAGAACTGTATGAGCAAAGAAAACCTATCAACAGAGTATCTAACAGAACATAAAACCTGTGGCAAGGAAAACATATTCACATTTAACCATGCAGTTTCATGCAGTCATTTAACAAACTAATCACTTGGCATTCTTAATGGATATCTGGTATGAGTCACAGGTTCACTTTGTCAGGCAACATAATTCAGTACAGTATGGTCTTTGCGAACAGGCTATGTTACAAATTGAAATATTTATAGCTGGGTAAAAACAGAACCACAACCTTCACCCGTAGCTAAAGCCATCATCTGCTGCTTAACAATCAAATTCTACACTCTGTGCACGTGCGCATACATATGTTGCAGAGTTTTTCAGTCTTCATTTGGAAATCTCATGTTTCTGCTAAGTGAGTCAATACCACAGTATAAGCCTGGGTGACATTAAATAGTTGCTTAATGTAGGGCAGGGCTTTGATATTAGTATTAACATTTCTTTTTAATGGTTTATTTCAGCCACGCAGGCTATAATTATAATATCCATGTCTTCTGCAGATACGAGGTATTATGTAGCAGTTAGCAATTGCAGCCACTGTTAGCCGACACTCATATTCAGGTTTGCTCTGCCATACAATACTCAATTGAAATAAAAAAAGGTTACACCTGGTTTGGAAGAACAAATGACACGGAGCTGTGGTTAAGTGGCTTAATGACAAATATTTAACTAAATGTAGCACTGCAAATGCTTGTGGCCATCTTGCAATAGTAAAATAGACATTAAGCCAGCAAAATACTTGTAAGTATTTGAGCTTATAATGTAAAATTAAATAAAGGGAACGTACATTAGTATGGACAACAATGACAATGATCGAATTTAAAATAACCGCACCAATTGATTTAACATGCTGTTAATTAGAACGCCAATTATTTACGATAATTCTGGAGGAATAAATAATGAGTTGTTAATGCATCTAAATTTTTTTTAAGATTCAACAATCGGCCAGCAAACAACAGTTCATTTCAGCAAAATTAGGTCATGGAAAAAACCTTTTTAAACTGGTGAACATTACAGGGGATTATACCAAGTATCAACCTGCATCGCTTAAGGCTTTCTTGAACAATCATAACGGGTAGCATTCATTTTAAAGATATTTTTAAAACTGAATATATTATTAGTCTTGGCAGATGCGCAATCAACCTTACAAGCCACACTTTCAAGGGGAGTGATATTTAGAAATATAAATAGTAATGTTTATGGACTAGATTTATACGGCATTAGGCATGCACATGCATATATATATTTTTTCCTGTTTTAATTTTGCAAAATGCAACAGGGCTATGCTTTGTCTCAGGGGGAAAAAACAATTACGTTCCAAGAGATGTTTTAGAAGAATGACACTTTACAAGATTGGAAAATCTGAGCAAATTATATATTTAATTTGTGATCATTCTAATATTTGGATAATGTAGCATTAGCCAGTTGCAATCTTCTAGACAAATGCAAAGGGATTGAAATGGAAATGTACATTGAGTTATCATCATTAACTGTTTTTAAAAAAACCAAGGTTTTCATTGGCTTGGCTTTTTTGTCCAGTCATCGCAAAACACATCAAGAACTAATGGTGGGCTTGTGAAGATTTATTAAACTCTTTGGTATAATGTATTTAACATTATTGGGCTAAATAGATCATTTATATGGACAACAGTGGTCATAAAATTACGAAACGTTGTTGATTGGCATTTTGTGCATTTCATTTGTTGTATTTTAGTAACGGGATAACATTATTTTTTAAGCTCGCTGTGAAAAAAAATATACACGTAAGTAGTTCAAGTGGTTTTAAAAGAATGCACATGGCCTGCAGCGAGAACATCTGAAATTGCATTCAGATGGAACAAATATATTTTTTCTACCAAGCTGAGAAGATGAAGGGGAAATCAAAACGGTTGTAAACATGTGGACGGAAGATCACGACAAGAAGCACACGCAAGGTCGACTTGTTGCTTAAACGTCGTCCAGAGACTGCATGCGAATCGCTCTGGGTAAGGCTGAAACAAGATTCCAGCTGAGAGGTTTCAGAAACTCCAGTCGTCACACCTCCACGTGGCCTCACGTTTCAACGATTACCAATCAACAAATGTAAGAGATGTGCCATTACCCATTTGCATTTAAATTGCAGAGAGGAATGAGATCTGGACCTTGAGAACACCACTGAGATAGCCCAATATCTGGCTGCTTGAATAGAACAAAGCATGTTGGACACAGATGGCAGGCAATTCGGTGGAAAATGTACTGTTATAGTATTTTAAGTCAACTTTGTTCATTTTTGCACTTTGGGTAGGTAAGGCGGTTCTCGACCTTGCAGGTTTTATTTTCACATATTTTCAGGAGAATCATATTTCTAATCTCTAGGCAGTGTCTTGTTATTCCTCGCACGTTGCACACCTAACTGCACTGTACCATACACAGCCCTTCTAAAAGCCCTCGAAGGAGAAATAGCACTTTTGCTTTGTTATTGGTTCCACACTTTTGCTCTCAGGGGGCAACGAGGGGAAAGGGAGGTCACAGGTTGATTGGCTGGCTTGGTGGTTGGTGGACAAGGAGGGATGAAGTGAAAGGGGGTGGAAGGAAAGGAGGCGAAGTCAGGAGGATGGACATCGGTGCATGCAGGAAAAGGGCGCATGCGCCAAGAGCCCCATACAAATTTCCTCGTCTTTTGTTTAACGCCCACATACCTTGGTCGGATAGACCAGCGAGAGACACAGAAGCAGGGGCGGCTGGGGCACTGGTAGCAGCTGCGGCTGTGGCTGCTGCCGCCGCCAGCCCCGCACTACTCGCTTCCCCACTACCCGGGGGAAGGAAGAGGGGGAGCGCCAGTGCGATTCGTTTACCAGGAAGGCCGATTTATGATTGTGATTGTTTTAAATTTACGCAAGTGTTTATTTGCAGCCCCCGCACGCCCCACCCACCCTCAAATAAAATAAATTAAACACAAAAAGCGGGAGGGCCATATCCAAAAGAGGGGGGGGGGAGGCAATAAAACGACAAAATAATTAATTCTAACATGTGTACAGAGTTAACATTTGAGGTCACTTTTTGTTCATTACTGCTTTCCTTTTCGTGCATTGCAATCGACTCGCTTGTTTTAATGTCCTTGTGGCATGCAATATGCCATTATTCAGTGGCCATGGTTATTATATTAATTTAGTGTTTTAAACGTAGAGGCCATAATACCTACAAAACTATTATATAATGGAAATGCATATAGTCCTTAAAGGATTGAGCACACAATGCAAAAGGAAAACATCAATGTCTCATCTTGAAATACCCTTCTGTGTGCTCTCATGAAGTGTTCAATGAAGGTGTTTCCCTATACTACCCCTAAGCAAGGAGGTTAACACTTCACGGGCAATCAAGCTTTGAATATTGCTGGGAGTCAAGAGTGCTTTAAAAGAGCTCAACCTTCAAATCCAACACGAACACAATTGTGCAAATTAAGAAAAAAACGTGGCATTAAATTGCTATCTGGATCCGAACATACTACGCCAATCAACAGCAACTGAATACAATTATAGATCAGCATTTGTTTACATTGGGAATACGTTCCAAGAAAAAAGAGCAGAATTAAACTATATTCACTGAACAGCTAAAATAATTACTTAGAATTGTATTATTGCCACTGATGTGAGAGTATTTTTTTTAAACATGCAGCAGAAAGTAGAACATCCTCATGGTTATTTGAGTCATATGATTCCTAGTATAATTTATTTACATTGTTTTGTATTCTCCCCCCCCCCCATTTTCATCCGTGTGATGAGTCAGCAGAATTGTAAAAAGATATTTACTTTAAAGATTAAGGCGTTATACTGACGTCAGGCAGTCACTGTAGCCCAGTCTCATCAATGTATCGCATCTCTCAGTGGATATAAATAATTTGCAGACAGATGCTCACTTCATTTATTCAACCTCGTGAGGTGCAAATAGATCCACTATAACATGGGAGTTACATGTAGTCCATATAAATTGTAAGCAAACACATTTAGGTTTAATAGCGCATATAGGTTACGAATTTTAACCTGACAGGTGTAGCAAGCTTGAGCATAAACAATTTTGAAACCAACAGAGACGAAATAGGCACATTCAAGCAGCATGAAAAGGACATTTGGTACCAAACGCTTGCTCGTCACGGGCACAAAGGGGCAGAGATTACGCCGAGGATACCGACCTGAAAAGTTTCTTGTGGCCAGCATTGTCGTGAGGATAGCACCCTGTGCGAAAGAAAACAGTCATATAGATTGTTAATCAAATTGGCATGAGAATAAATGTTTATAGTCTTTGGTGACATAATACTCCAGCTCTCGTGTGTGCACCTTCGGAGGACATTACTCAAAACGCACCTTGAGTTTTCTTCTGGCGTTGAACTTCCTCAAGCACTCCACAGTCTCCTGCCTGTGCATGCAAGATGCCACGGTGGAGCGTTGCTGAAATAGAAAAAAAAGAATGATTGCAAAGTCATAATTGTATGGGGAAAGATTTTGGTCACACTTTGCATTATTGTGATGGCCAATCGAGATGCCATGTCTGTGGGGTTTTTTAATGAGATCTAAGATTTTGAAAGAAAACCCTTATACATAAAATACAAATTTGCATACTTAAAAATGAATATCAAGTGTTGGGATCAGATGTGTTCAACATCTCCAAATACACTGTGATTTTGGCAATAAAAGCTGATACCTGAACAATTGTAAACTCTTCTAGTTCTTTCGGTAAAGTCACGTAGAAGGGAAGTAATAAAATAATAAAAATAAAACATAATAAATAAAATAATTCTCACGACGTTTCGGCTACACGCAAGCAGCCGTCTTCAGGTGAAGACGGCTGCTTGCGTTGTAGCCGAAACGTCGTGAGAATTATTTATTTATTATGTTTTATTTTTATTATTTTATTACTTCCTTCTACGTGATTTACCGAAAGAACTAAAGATGAATCCTGCAGTCACGAAAGCTTTAAATCGAAATGTAAACTTGTGGCCTGCATACCAAAAATCTATTCCATAGCATGTTCCATTGCAAAGCAACATCAGAAGAAGGGCACTTTGCTTCACAAAAAATATAGCATATACACACAGAATGCTCACATGGAAATTACATTCTGTTCCAATCCCTTTCTTGGTACATGACTAATTTAGACATGGCATCAGATGGACTGATGAGCAAGTCAAATGATCTTACGCAGATCCAGGGATGTTTGAGTGCCTCTGCAGCGGTGATACGCTTGGCCGGGTTGATAGTCAGCATTTGGTTAATGAGATTTTTTGCTTCTGCAGTCACGGTATCCCACTCCGGTGATGGAAACTTGAAAGGCAAATAAGGTTTGTTAGAAAATACATCGAAATGATGCAACAATCATTTACATTTTGCTCCCAATCAACAGCTTAGTTTAAACTATAAAATTGTGCAAAGGGAAATTTACATATAAAAGGGAAAACCAACTTTAAGCAAAATCTTTAATTACCATAGCAGACTTTTGCTCCACTTCAAGAATAAACTATGGTGTTTCATAAGCAAGTCGACAAACATGTTACGTTGAATGTTTCTTATAATCATTATGCCACAATATTTCTGCAGCCACTCTTTACTAAAATGCCCTTGTTACAGCACTGACACCATTCCTAATACCAGCACAGCGTTGAAGTAATTTATCTTGTCCTTAAACCATGACTGCACCAACAGCTTTTAAAACCCTGTCACTGTCAAACAACTTCGCATGTCGGGCTTTGTCAGAGGCCCCAGCATATGGATTGCAGATGGCAATAAGTTCTGGGCTGCGTATACAATAATGCTCCGGATCATTCCATCCATGCTTTCCCAACAATTCCATCTTTGCAAAGGCAGAGTGTGATATATTGGGAAGCAGCACTCCCTTCCTCAACAGTCCACAGGCATTTCTGAAAAATCACAAGACTTCAGATATCAACCTCCCAACAAGCAAAACCCTGACTGATGTTGACGCATCAACCGGCGAGACCGTCATCATAAGAAATATGCTCACATTCTGAATGCAGTTGTTACATCGACTTGTAAGCAATGCCACAGTTCATGCAGTCATCACGCTGCCACTTAATTGTCTTAACACCCTCGATGGACTAAAAATATAAGAATTTGCTTATTTTTGAATGCGCTTTTGTAAAATGGCACCAGCATCTTTGATCACGTAATACGTGTCCCATGTTGTAGGAAACCCTAGAGAATTGTTACACGTAAGAATCAGGATCATATCGGGTGGCGCAGTGGCACAGCAGTTAGTGCATGACACGATGAACCTAGCTACCCGAGTTCCCAGCCATAGCTACCATCAGAAACAAGGTGATACATAAATCAGTTTAGGGGTTCCCACTTCTCTAACCCTTACTTATCAGTATGGTGAAGTATGGTCAAACAAACCCAAATAACTGTTTTGACATTGGGAAGCCTTCATTCAGCAGAGGACTGACAAATGAGCTACAAAATAGGGGAATCTTCAACAAAACTCACACTGAAATAAGTTACAGATTCATGAAAATTATCTTTCCTGATAGGAAAATTCCTCACATCACATACACACACAGTGGTTTCTATGGGACTGTAAAGTTAACCACGTGTTTCTCCAGTCTTTTTTGAGCTGCATTCACTCCCATAGAACGCTTATATAGATTTCACCATGAAATGCCGTAAGTACCCAATGCAATCTGCTTAATCCAGATTTTTCATTTTTAGAGAAAAAACCACATAATACCCAGTGGGCTGGTCTGAATGAGTGTGGATTAGAGTGGGCATCATCTACAGTAGATGTAAATATATTTAAGAACGCTGGTGGCAAATGATGAGATTCGGTTAAATAATTGTGTCATTTTAAATAGATAAATCATTTGGTGGTCGACAAAATTTCAGGAAGCATACGTGAAATAACATATTTGCGAGTGTACGAGTGCTCAGCTACATACATCATATGCTCCAGCTTTGATTTGCTGGTAAAGTTTGTGCTGATCCTCATCCCAGAAAGGTGGGTACCCCACCAGTAGGATATAAAGAATCACACCTGAAAAGTGTTGCGAAATAATAATTATCAGTGAACATCAAAAAAAATAACAAATTAGTTAACAATGACAGAGGATTCAAGAAAAATTTACAGTGCATGTTAGTCAAGGTCTCATAAATCAAACAGGTAAGCATGTGCAAGGAAGCAATAACGCAACAAGCTAGGATGATGGCTAAATTCATCAGCCTTACCGCAAGCCCACATGTCCACTGGTTTTCCATAAGGATCCTTCCTGAGAACCTCAGGGGAAAGATACCCTGGAGTGCCAGCAAAACCTGTCAAAAAAGGTGAAGGAAATTTGTATTAAATGTGAGGTCACTTTAAATTACAGGTGGTTCAGTGATCATATTCTGCGAATGGTCATTATATACCTGTAACTATTACGTACGCTTACAGCACTTTTGAAATAAATCTACTGCTTGGATAATGGCCTCCTCAAACCGTGTAGGTTGGGGGGGATTGTTCGATTGTACTTGATCATACTCGTCAGAGAATTTTAGTGAAAAGGAGGCTTTGTACACCTTGCTAAACACTGTTTTTGGCAAGTTTTGCCAGTGTCCCATAGCTGTGGACACTTGGCAACGACAACAAAAAACAACAGGGAGCATAGACTTTAGAGAATCTAAAGCAAAGTACAAGAATGTATTCTGCTGCATTACCCTCTGCTGTCCACCACGCAGCCCTACAGCTGCCTATGATAACCTGGCATGCATGGTGGTTGCCAATTCAAGCACTATCAATCCAACTTAGCTTCTGAGATCTGATTAGATCGAACACATTCTAGCTTATTTGCACATGCATATCAGATTTTCCATTAACAAAAAATTGAGCTAGAAAAGTGTACAGCTTAAATTTTGCTATCCACATGAGCACACCAATGAATAAAGGATGGGAAAAAATTACTGTGAGGTTCTATCTTTGCTCCTGCAACACTCCACTTACCAAACCAAGCCTGCTGATCACCCTGCACCTCAATGGCGAGTCCAAAATCCGCCAGCTTCACAGCAGCTCCCTTCATCTTGCTTGCTAGCAACAGGTTCTCAGGCTTCCGTGAACACAAAAAAACACTTTGCAGGATTACCAGGGTTAAGCTCGGTATTAGGGCACATGGTGCCTCCCGTTGTGTGCAAGCTTTAACAAATAAAAAAGTGAACGCAGTGGAGCAGGAAACACACGAACAACCAGAGCTCTGACGGTGAATTACAAAACTTGGTGGCATATGTGCAGCTTCAGAGGGATATCACCGAGTCACTCGCATTAAAATAATAAAACATTCATACCTTGAGGTCACGATGCACGATGCCATGCTGATGGCAATGGTGAACACTTTCCAAAATCTGCTGGATGCAGTGGCTGGAAAGGCAGAGGGTTGTGAGCTTAGGAATTCATTCTTTGAACAAATATTTGTAATTAATATCACCTGCAAATGTGGCACGCTGCTCTGTATTTTAGTTTTGTCTTGTTTTAAAGACAATATGCAGTATATATAACAGGTACATTTACACCTCCACCCTCTGCTGCCTGAAACAGTGCCACAGCAGCCTACAGCATCTCTGCTTTATGCACGATGACCATCCATCCATGCGCTATCCAGGCTCGACCTGGCTTAGCTTCTGAAATTTGGCCAGACTGGACACATTCCAGGTGATTTGGTCATCGGCATTGTGTAGATTATGTATCGTATGGATTACGTATCGTGTAAACGCCCCCCACCAAAAAAAAGATATGATCAACGTTATAAAGATGTTTATTGTTGTTTTTATTATATTCTCACCTGGCATCAGCCTCACTGTAATACTCTCTGGCTACAATGTCTTCAAACAGCTCTCCTCCTGTTACCCTGTGAACGTCCACAAAGAGGTGCGACATTTAGCGTCACGTGGCATTCGGAAACGAGGTGTCACTGACCGCACATTACAGCTGGCTCTCCGTAGCCGTGGCTCTCGCTCTTTGCAGGGCGATGGCCACAGGGTGGGGTAAAAGACCGAGGAAGGAATGTGATGAAGGCTGCGAGGGCAGGGGGAGGGCAGGAAATACAACTATGCCTTCTGGCCTGCTACATGAATGTACCCAGCAAAGGCAAACGGCATCTCACTTTGAAGCGAGCCCGTGACTGATCACACGCATCCTTACACCGCAAAGCAGTGTTATTCACAAATAGCTTCGAGGCAGGGAACAAAGTGGAGCCATTGCGCACGAAGACAAAACATATAGTTACATCAGCAAACCCGCATTTTGGAAGAAAGCTCCGCTAAAGCGTTAGGCGCCCAATCGAAAATGGTTGTGGGTTATACACCTATTGATACTACAAAAAGGATTTAGTTCAATGACAGTTCCTTGTGGGTTTTTTCCCTCTAGGTGTTCACATTGGCAACATTATGAGATTTATCTTTCACCCTATGACAATTGAATCACTTGGTGGACGGTTTTGGATCCCCATGTGGCTCGGCTATATTTAGCTTCGGAGCAGGTTACTGTGACTGCTTAGAGGAGGCGAGCGGAAGGGATGAGATGGAAGGTCGAGTCTGCGGGGGTTCATGTCAGACACAATCAGCAGAGCAGTGAAGCAGACATTGCACACACACCGCTTTCTGTGCATCTGGACATTCACCCCTGAAATTTTCCTCTTGCCCATCTGCGTCACGTAAATTACTAGAGATATGAGCTCATCGCCCAAGATTGTTTTTTTGGCTTCTGGTAACAGAGCAACATGGCAAAGTGTTTTAATTCATGGATCTGCAAAGTACAATGATGGAGTTTATTTATTAAAATCTAAAATGGGAGTAGTTTTTTCAATACCTTGCACAATTAAGTATGCAGTGCATCACTACCTGCAATATATTTAGGTATATTGGTTGCTTAGACAATACAGTTTGTTTTTGGGGCAGACACGCTAAGGCAGACTGATTTCTGATCCAACACTTCCAATTCATAAATTTTCATGCTGGTTATACCTTTTAAGGAAAAATCCAGATTTACAACTTGTCATGTCAAGAGACTGGAAAGAGGAAGAAGATTATTATTATTTAAAATCACGAGGAAACAAGACCAAAAAGGATTTCTATACGGAGGGATATAAATTGCCGTGCAGCATGCAAAAAAAGTCACTGCGAAAATCGATGAGAGACTGCAGCAGAGAAGGCTGCTGTGAATACAGATTACACCAGGAGGTGGCTTTGTAAGCTAGGTCACATGGGCTGAAAGAGTGGGTGGGTGGGAGGGATGGAGATTCTGCAACTGCCAGAGATTTGGAGATTTTTGTTTGACGGATCCGCTGCTGCCCATTAGTAACCATTACAACACTTAGACGCATTAGCGTGCGCGTTCGTTCGGGGTCTCTACCGCAAGCACCCGTGGCCTACCGCACGAATGGCACAATGCATCGGTCGTCAAACACACACGCGCGCGTACGTGCATACGGACAAAAACACGTGCCGTGTACTCAAATAAAAGAGCAGGTGTTTTCGCAGTGTCAAGAAAAGTGTGTCAAGGTCATTCTGTTGATGCAAATCAAACGTGGCTTCCAACTTTTGTAAATGCTAACCAACTAGGCTACATACACAAAGCTAGGGGTATTTTTTAATGGACATATGGTATCAAGTTGAAAAACAAATATTTGATGAAAGGACTTGAACTATCTAACTTTTTTTATAGCTGCGTAGAAGGGAAATAATAAAATAATAAAAATAAAACATAATAAAATAATTCTCACGACGTTTCGGCTACAACGCAAGCAGCAGTCCTCATTCTTCACCTGAGGACGGCTGCTTGCGTTGTAGCCGAAACGTCGTGAGAATTATTTTATTATGTTTTATTTTTATTATTTTATTATTTCCCTTCTACGTGACTTTACCGAAAGAACCAAGAAGATGAATCCCTGCAGTCATGAAAGCTTTAAATCGAAATCTTTATAGCTGGTTCGTAAGCACATTAGTCACAGTTGTCGCTCTTGTTGATGTTATTGAGTCTAAAAGCAAATCTGTCTCTGTTGTCTACACACCAGGGGTTTGAAATCTTCTAGCTGTGGGCCCTACCACCCACAAGCAGAGAGAAATTTTGCCACATTCCCAAGTTGTCTTTCAATGCAGAACAAGGCCATACAAATCTGATGTCTCTTGTACTCTGGATGGGCCAACCACAGTTGGGTATTGTGTGCAGCCCTCTCGTGCAGTGTGCTGAGAAAGAAAGGATCCAGCCACCTATCCAAGGTGGCACTCGTGGGTTTGTTGATGGGTGGCAACTTGGATATTTAAAATATTTGATTGTTACAAGTGGCCAGGTGGCTGAGAGGTTAGAGTGCTAAGCTGGCACAACTCTTGAGGTCCTGGGTTTGAATCCAGGCTGCCCAGCTTTAATTAAGCTGGATTCTCAAGTGACCGCACATAACATCGAACACGTTAAGTTTATCCATAATAAAGGTTTTTGGGTTAGATCCTGTAAATATATAAACGTGTCGTTAAAACCTGCCACTACCCGACACAGCCAACTAGTCAGGGTTGTCACGTAAACAGAACGTGGCCAATTCGTCACTAGTACAGCACACTGGTGTGTTGGAGAGCCAAGCCACACCATTCACAAACTGAGTACGACGTTTCGCCAGTAATTACAACTAGCTTCATCAATTACTGGCGAAACGTCGTACTCCGTTTGTAAATGTTGTGGCTTGGCTCTCCAACACACTGGCGTGCTGTACTAGTGACGAATTGGCACGTTCTGTTTACGTGACAATCCTTACTAGTTGGCTGTGTCGGGTGGTGGCGGGTTTTAACGACACATTTATATATTTACGCGATCTAACCCAAAACCTCTATTATGGATGATATTGGTCGCGAAAGCCTACGTGTTAAACATTCAGTTTAGTTCTACAGTTTATTTTTCTAAATTCCAGCTCTGAAATTTAAAACAAAGATATTGGTTTGATTGTGATGTGACAAGCATTACTCTCAGTGGCAGAGGAGGTGGTAAAGCGCCGCCCCACAACTTCATGGACAAGGGGTCATGGGATTTAAGATAAAGAGCACTCTGGGTACCCGCTTTCTAAACAAGCACCGTATCTCTTGATATGACACCGATGGCATCATTGGGATATAATTTGGGAAAAGTATCGCCGTTTAGAATAGGAAGTCGTGGGTGAATAGAGTTTTGGGGCAGTGGCATGGGTCTCTCAACCCAGGGCAAGTGTGGTGACTGGAAGCGACTGGAGGTCAAAGCAACCTGCTGACAGAAATAAGCATGTGCCGCCCATGCTTAAAAAACCCTGGCAGAAATTATCATCTCTCCATGGAGTCTGAATCTAAGTTTGAGATCAACTAGTTCACGCTACAACTAGTCACTCAAACATAGATTGCTTACAATTCTAAACCTATGACCTTGTTTTGTTTGCCACATTGAGAGTCCACTTTGGATTCCACTATAATGACCTTTGTAAAATAAAATAATGCCGACCAGTACAAGCAATACTCTGAAGCTCAAAACGGACAAACTTTTTGAGTTGTACTTTTGTACAAGACTGGAATTCCTAAAGAGTCTGTCAGTGATGCGACTCATGAAGGTTACATCTGTGTTGCCAATGGTTAATGATCTGCAACCACTGAATACTGATGTCCTTGCTCTTTATTTATACAAATTTGTGCTTTCAAAAGTTTAAGGGGATTACACTCACAAAAATTTGGGACTTTACACCGAAACTATTTTTGTACAAGAACCTTTTTAAAGAAGTATAGTAAGCCTTACATCTTCTGACGATATAAGACTAAGACTTTTATTCGGAAAGGTATCATTTCATCTGTGTGACATTATGGAACACATTTCACATAGTTGATTAACAATATTTTACATTAACTTAATTGTTCTTTTTAGACCGGAGGTCAATGACAATCAATCTTCTTTACAAGTGGAATGCCTACAAATGTAATCATGCCAGTAAATGTTTTTTTATTTACTAATTTATTTGCCAGGTAAAGCCCACTAAGCTGTTAGCTCTTTTACAGGGTGACCTGGCCACATATGATCGCTCGTCGAAGTGGCTTATCATGTGGGAATTTACAGAAGCTAAATCATTTAATCGTATGTTTATAAATGCAGAGGGTAAAACCTCTGGACCCGGAGCAAAAGCCACAAACCCACAGGAAGAGAGAACATGCATACTCCAAATATACAGGAGTCCGGGTGGAGATGGCACCCACAACACAAGATGTTATCTCCCTCGTCTGGTATGCAGGTAGTCGTGGGTTAGATCCCGACCCTGAAGCCTGCATATCTGGAGTTGCATGTTCTCTCCGTGGTCCCGTTGATTTTTATCCGGGTCCTCCGGGTTTTCTTTCCATATTAATAAGCATGTGTTGAGAATATTTGGCTGCTAGAAATTTCCACATGATAAGCCACTTATTTGAGTTACCATTTGTGACCAGGTCACTTCTCAAAAAGAGCTATATAGCTCAGTGGGTCTTAGCTGGTAAAATATATATTTAAAATTGTTTAAACAACCTCCTTCACACCAGGTGAGGGTGATAACATCACCACTGCGGCGAGATGCATATTGAAGGTTATAAAACTGAAGACAATAAAAAACAAGATTTGGGCTAGAACCATTCATGTCCATCTTAAAGGAGACAAGACGCTCTCTCAGCGATGGCGCACGCCTATAATCTAGTGAAGGCGAGGGGGGTTAGTGGATCATAAAATGCTGTGGAACTATTCCATGGGAGTGAAGGTGAAATGCCTGGCTTGTCAGGAGGATGCAGTACAGCAAATGTTGATTTATCCTCACCGATTCTGTATTGTATCGTGCTGCCCCCTCGAATGTGGGGTTTTTTCTGGGTAATCCGGGTTTCTTCCACATGTATAAAAACTAATTATTTGGCTAAAAACATCTTAATATATAGAGGACTGCAGAGCTTGAACACTTATTGGTGCTAGCTCACCACCCGATTTCCTTTCCTGCTTGACAGTGGTCGGTGAGATGCAATTTGCATCAACGATGCTCCATAAAACTACATCATTATAATATTGACATTATATATCTGCAGGTTTAGCACTTGTGAAAATAGGAGTAATGAGACTGGTTGTGCGACACTGGTTTCTACATTTAAGTTCTGCCATGTTACATTAAAGCAGTGTCATGCAAAGACCCCTGCCTCGACTGACCTTTTATATCCAATAAACATCAATGCAACAGGAAAAATGTAGTTAAACACAACTTCCCCAGTCTTAAAACATAAATGTCAATACTGGCCCAGAGTTACAACCTTTCACGTCCTACTTTTTGTGCCTTCACAAATTTTTTTTACAGTCCGTAAGTGATCTTAGCATTAAAAGACTATGTAAAATGGATACTTTTACCATTTATGATGCAACAGTGTAGCAAGCGAGTTTGATTATCTGACTTTGAGTTAGGGTTATGGCAGTATAGGAATGCGTTTGTGACAATCCTCTGGCTTCATAAAATTACCATAAAAATTATGTATTTGTGCGAGTTCAACCATTGCGTTTGCAATCCTCTGAGTAATGCAAGGAACACTTAACTGAAGTGGACTAAGACATAAAAAGCACCATTCCATTCTGTGTCTCCAGATTTAAACAAAATATATTTAGTCCAGCAGCCAGTTCGCTTTCTAGACCAGTATTATCCAGTAGCATTGTTTAAGGAAGTAAATTCTAGGGTGCATCAGTCGAATCAGCTTGTTAGACACATGGTGCTGGGTTGGCAGATGCTATTCGAAAGAGCACTTCAACTCAAAAAGAAAGGTGGCATTGGTAGGTAAGCATAAAAATAACCTGCGCTAAGCTAGTTTTTCATTCATTGATGCATCGTGGGGGTGTTCAGCTAGTGCTTGAATATCAGAACTTCAACTTGGTTACACCATCTATGTGTGAAGATGGCTACAGCTCAGCAAATGCTTATAAGAAATCAGCAAAAGTATACTTACAGATCAAAGACCAGGTAATGGAAGCCTTCCTCTGCTATGCTTTCATGGAGACGTACTGCAAGAAAGACAGAAAAAGCACTTATAGTCAAACGTTATAGACAAGAATATTGTGATTAAAAGAAAAAAAATACTTCAGGATATCAGATGCAAAAATTCTAAAGAGACGTGTGTTCAGCATACTGATTTTTGGCAGTGAAAAACTGCGGTGGACCAGTGGTTAGCACATTGAGCAATCAGCCCAACAAGCAATTTGATTCCCGGCCACGGTTAACATCAGTGGCGAGCGATAATCTGAACCAGTACGGGGCACGCCTGTCGATTCAACTTGCACTGACCAGGGTGAGGTTCACTGTGGGGAGGTCTACATCCAGCAGTAGATTGACTAAAGTCCTGTAAATCGTTATTATTATTATTCTTAACTACAGACGATGTAGGTTGAACAGCCCCAGAACACAGACTTAATCTGCAGTGAAGCGCAAACAGTGCCTCGTCTGCTTCAGTGTCATATATTAGAGGGACATGTAGAGCTGATGATTTGAGCACTGTTAAGACGGTGTGTGGGCCTGTACCCCCACAATGGTCATCGTTGACCTAAGTTGGAATAAAGGAAATTAAATTAATGAAAATGTCAAGGAATAACATTTTGGAAAAAAAATCTAGCAAATATTATATATTAAAGATCATGTTATTTTTAAAAATCTTGTCAAAAATATTTCCACATTTTCTTTTTATTCCCTTCATGGTTTTGCATATAAGCAGGCATAAGTAATGTTTTGTAATATTTATAAAGTGGATGAGTATTTCAACAGGGATTTCTAAGGATTCAAGCCAAGTTTTTTCCCTTGATTTGTATGTGCTTTGATCACTAGATCAATTTGCCTTTAGCAGTTACATAAGTCTGTTTAAAAGTGCAGTCACGTGTAATGGCACGTACAAATATGGAGTACTCCATAGGGACATTGTCTTTTCCCTTACTTCCTTCATGTCTTCCCACCTGAAATTATTTATTTACAAAGTTTAATAGCAGTGCATTGAGGGGAGTGTGTTTATGTATTCCCACCAATTGCTTACGTACATTACTGGGCGAATAACCATGCATCGAATCAATTAAAAGTGGTACATGTGTTCACAATATAGACATTGAATCTTTAGTTAAAATGCATGTACATTATATGTTGTGGCTACATTTAGGCTAATAATGGTGGGCACAAAACAGTACAAATGAGAAAAAGAACGAGAAATAATACAAATGAGATCCTGACATCGAAACTAAATAAAAATAAACGATGAGAATTTATTAACAATAAATCGTGAAAATTCATCAAATCACTGGGCGAGGAAGGGATGGGGGAAGGGTGAATCATTGTCCACGGCCAGCTCTTGTCAATCCGCTGCTGGATGAAGGCCGTCCCACGTCTGTGAGGCTTATACATTTCACCATGTTGATCAGTGAAATTCGTGAAAGTGGGAGCATAAAAGCACAGGACAAAATTGGATTTTGATGCACTTCCCTACACTGCTCTCTAAATAGCCCTTGCACCGCGGCTCTGATAGCTCAGAGGTATTTGGCGCGAAGGGAAGCACCTCAGCATGGTTGTGAGGAGCCATACACTGTGATGCCATCGCGAAACAGAAATCGTCGTGGCAAACTTAGCATCGTGTAACCGTGTACCCAGCGCGCTGCCGGACCAACATAGAATGCCTTCAAAATTTGGACCTCAAATGGGATCCGTCAATTTAAGGGGGAGCCTTGACGCTGGAATCATCAGCAGAGATACTACGCAAGAATTCCTGCACTTGGTTTCGCAGAGTATCCACGGTAATTTCGGTAATGCAGGTACCGAGCAGCGCATCCGAATCTGCCGCCCCGTGCCTGGGCAAACACGCGAAATTCCGGAAAATCATCCGCTGGCCTCGAGCCCTACAAGCTGGGTGGATGGGACTAAATCAACGTACTTTTACACTAATTGCAGAGCGACACATATTTCGCTTAGTCGCAGATCTCTCGCGATAGCTCCAGCCAGGATTACCCTTTGAAGTGGCCACCAGTCTCAAGCCTCAGGGTGCAGCCGTGGACCGTTCGGGATTATCAGATTGCTGCAACCGACCCGGTAGATATTCACACTAGTGCGAATAGGCTAAGGCCCTGGTCTTTGTGAACCCCCGGCTCCTCATCATCCAACGAAGCCATCAACTTTATTCAGACACGACGGTGGGTGTCCGGACTTGTGTGTGCACATTTTGGCCCAAAATAGATGAGTACTCGACACCCACTTCGCTACGTAGTACTAGGAGGCTCAATCCCAGCGCTGTAGACGGTTTGACGGGACACGACTTCGGTTCTCCTTTCCGTTCCATTGGACCTAACGCTCATCATCCATGTATATAACCGTCACCGCCTCTTCAATTGGTGACAATGATCGGTAACTGGGGTCGTAGCAAGCCTCGTAACTCGTAGAGTTTTGCCGCAGAGGCGCTTTTCTCCAAACCATGCATGTCAATGCTTAGACCACCCTCCAGCTACCGATTGTTCCTTCTCCGCAGTTTTGAGCTGCGGATCGGGATGATTATTCCCCTCCCTATAGGTCCTGTGCTAATACGAGTGCCTCGTCGTTATGAATCGCTCTGACGGTTTCTGAATCTCATTTGACCCAAATCTGACAGCAGACACTCAAGTGAATGTCAGTGTTGTTATAATCAGTTAAGCATATATGACAGTCCCCAGTGGTACTTTGCTAGACGCCTGTCGATTTTCGAGGTATTCTATAACGATTACGAGTCTCGTAGAATTCGTTTCACCGTGCTTCATTGACCTAGAGCAGCCTATTTGAACCAGCTTGTCATTGGGGTTAAGAAAGATTATTCATGGCAACACCGTTTCCGCCGATCCAAGCGCATTAAAGGCAGCTTGTAGCTTTGGGGAGTGTTAAGCGTCGTGGCTCTTGCACTGCCCTAAGCACTGCATGCGGCGCCGGCTACTATATGGCCCCCGTATCGCGCCAGCGCACACACAAGCACTCAGCATAAGATTGGGTTCAGTCCTCCAGAGGCGGTTGATTGCGATGCGACTCGTGCCTCTCTTGTCATCACACGTGATTCAAACTGGAGCGAGGTTCAACTACTCCATCAAGTCTTCATTAGGTCCGAGGAACAAACCGGTAGTAGCCATATCCGGCCAACGAGGCCTTAGGCGCAAACCTTCGCTAGACCCATTGGGTATGTTGGACATTCAGCATCCCCGAAAATGGTATTCGAAACATTGGGTAGACAACGGCGGCGCGTATCTTGAAATTACAACTTTATGGAAGAGATAAATCAGAACCTTAATCTAACGAGTGCCGCCCGAGAAGGGTACGTCTCCACTCGAACTTCATCAGACTTGGGCGTACCGTGTGGGGCCCTGCGGCAACAAGGATTAATCAACCTCGCAATAAATAGCGCATGGTCTCAACGTGTTATTTCCACGGTCCAGATTTATTACACGAGTGTACCGCTTCATGCTGCTAGGCCCGAAAAAGGACTGATTTACTTCCGGTGTTCATACCATTTTAGTGCGGTTATTCCTTCGATAGGGGCGTCTTGCATGTGTTGTTGTTGCGCCCCACTTAAGGCAAACCGCATGGGTTGACTTTCGAGGAGTACCATAAAAGCGATTTACTGGCCATAGTTCGGTGCGTCGCAAGCTCACACATTCTAAACGAACTACTGTGTGCAAAACTTACCGCTGAGGGAGGCGTTAGTGGAGTTGGTCGGTACGTTGTCGCAGACAGTGGCCTTGTCGCTCTCAAACAAGTGGGGCGCTGACCTGAGACCTGTTACTCATGCCACTCTAGGAGCCATAGCAGTCAAGGCCCGGTACTCGCCGAATTTAAGCCGGTACTAGGTTAAGCAGTCGCTGCCTTCCGGAAGTCACAAAACACTCTTCAGGCCCAACGTAATTTGACTTAACTAAAGGACACTTGTTCCAGACCACCGTAATTGCTGGTTGGAGCGGTCGAGAGTCGATATTCTGATTATTTACGGTCTAAAGAATTTCCCCTTGACACATACGTCCAATCGGGACCTGGCTCGAGGACTCACGATTTTGGCGAGGTGATCAGCGTGCACTATCGTAACGTCATCTATTCTCATCGTATGGTCAGGTGTATTATAGTGATACCTTTGAAGTCATTCTCAGAAAACCCGTTGATACCGGACGAAGATTCATTCTCGCCAGAGCAATAGTTACCAGAGTTGGTTCAATATCGGTTTCCAGCGCATCTTAAACTTCCTGTCCCTTCCTTGTCTCATGCTGCGTGCACGATCAATTGGAGAAGGGAACACACTCTCTACCAAGTGTGCGTTAATCCCGATTTACCTACTATTCAGGAGAATATTCCTTCGCTGCATACCTGGCTAACAATACCGCTAACTGGGCCATATCCCTTTAAAGCACACCTTGTGAATCTCTAACTTTGAGAGGGGGTATGCTGCCTGCGTGTGACAAGTCTCCTGTACCTCGAAGATACAGGGTACGTTTGGCGGGCAGACTACCCGCCCGCTCAGCCTGGCGATTTGACTGAATCCTGTGGACCCATTTGCAGAACGCTTTTTTACTATGCGGAAATCTCTTTATCAGCGATATATGCTTCCGGGAAGTTTTGGTTCTTCGCGCTGCGCTAATTATCATTAAACGCGAGTACTGCGGAGCCGGGGTCCAGGTCGGCAGGATTACATATGTCGCAACGCTTGGCCGGACGTCATCTTTGCAGTATATCCCCTAGCCATACGGTAGCTCTCACAAGCGGCCCTGCTGTCTCTATGCGTCCTGTCGGGAAACGGCTCGCTCCTTTGCTGGCTTACCTGTTTGACTACAGTTTAACGTTTGACTTCCGCTCGGGTGGACCTGAATATAAGTCCAGAGCATGGATGCTTTGGTGGTCAAGTTTCATGGTACGGCGAATGCGAATGAGTGAAAGACGGATTTTCCTAGCATAGTGCTTAGGCTATCATTACTGTTGCTAGTATGACCGTGTGAAAGACAAAATGCAATCTTAGTCAGTGGAGTGTACTGTATGGCGTTACCCAGTACGCAGCCCTCTGTGTAAGCTCACAAGATGGTTACGCAACAAGATGCTCTTTTCTACTTTACCAATCAGTAGACTTGAGACCCTCGCCCACCATCCCTTCACGGTCCCTGGGAGGCTATGTTAGCGTCTATTCTCCTTTTGTGTCGGTACCCTAGGGCCAAACGCAAAAGTTCTTGGTTTGTCTAAACTTTGGGTTTTGGTCGCGCCTGTGCACCGTCCCTTTCGACTACGGGTTATGATGTCCTTTGAGGTAGCTTTACAACCTCTATTTTCAGCGCCCTACGTTCGCGCCACAGCGAAAAGTTAGCTTCCATATATGCGCGGGTTGGTGTCTATAGTTAACAACTTAGACGTTATGTTACGCGGTAGGGTCCGTTGGGGGCAGGATCGATAAGCGTTAAGTATTCACACGATAGAGCCGTTAAATGCTGCGATGATGAGTTTCGGGAAATGAAGAACCTAGCCGGTACTATAAGATAAAAGCACAAAGCCATATGTCCACTCAGGCGATTAGTCACCTGATTATTCCTTGGAGGTCTTTATTTCGCTTCTGTACACATGTTAGTCGGGCAGTGTTTTAGGTATAGGTTTGCCCGCACCCTGCTGTCAAGTTTCTAGCCTTACACTTCTACGTGCAGCGATGTCCAGTCGTCAATACACAGAACATCGGAGGTGGCTTTTACCTAAACGTGAAAGGAAGATACTTTAAAGGGGAAGCTAAATGGGAGGAATATATTGATCATGGTTCGGGCTGTGTAGTCGTCTTGTACTGCGTTTCTAGTCAGGTGGGTGTGTCGTGTGATGACGTGGGCCCAGCGATAGCACTAGAATGCGATAAAGGGGAGAATCAATGTCTCATCCACGTATTTTGGTGAGATGCTACACGAGTCTCTGACGCACCGCATGAATCGAGTTGGCTTGAGACTTACCCAATATGTGCTCGATTCCCGCCTGGCATTAGTGGAGCTAGACCGACTTACAATCATATAACCCCTCTCGCGCGCAGGACAATCTCGCATCCTTCAAAGTGAAGTCTCGAGCTACAACATTGCTAATACATTTCGAATTTACTCAAAGTCGCACGAAATGCGGTCTTCTTATTCGATAACGGTAGTTTCGATGGAATTGGAAATCCCCCGAGGCTACGAGCGTAGGCGACTTAAGCCGGTGATTTTCGGGGAGCGACGAAGTTCGGCGACTGTCCAGCTGTGTCTATCGACCTATGGGCAATAATTGGTCGATCAGCTGTCCGGACCCGCACTGAACCACACACTTGCGATCGCTAGGGGTATTAAGTCAGAGCGCACCGAGTATGTTGAGGTTACGTGGCAACAGGTACGCTCCCACAGGAGATCGGAAGTTTGGGTGGTGTGATATATGTCTGTACTTATTCAGGTAAAAAATGGTGATGAGTAGGTAACAGAGAGAGGCTTTCTCCCAAGGGCAATGTTTTCATGAATCGGCGCGGTTACGCCCTTGGCTGGTGCCGTCGACCCTGGTGCCTTTTCGTTAGATTTGTACTGGGGGCTTGTTATCACACACGCAGTCGACAGGGACACGTCGAGTTTAGTTCAATAACTCGCTAGCACATCCGAACAGAGAGGTCTTATACATAAGTGGAGATGTATTTGGCTCCCTGAGCCTACAGCGTAGTGGCCTTGCTATTCAAACTTGCGGAACGCGTGTCCGGGGCTTTCAAACCTACGAAATATGGTGCGCTATTTGGACAAGTGCCATAGGATAGCATAAGACCTGCGAACCCAGGAGGCTGTATTTAGCATGCGACATAATCCCGGGGCATAGGATCGGTACGTTAGCAAACGACTCCCGTGGCTGTATAACCAGGACATTTGTGAATAACCTTAGCTTATACATCTTTTTAAACGGATGCACGTCACAAAATATGTTGATACTATGGGCCAGAATCCTCTACGGTTGTCATTTTCCGTCTGTGTGCTTTCTATATAGTTTTGCCGTTACATCCGACTTACAATGAAGTCTTGTACGTTAGACTGCAAGTAGAAGCGCCTCCTCAAACAACCGTTCCTTAGGGCTGAAATTCTCTAGCCAGATGTGCCGTTTTATAACTGAGCTAACCGAATGCGGACAACATTTTGCTGTTGGAATACGACGCTTTATGCTCCCGGGAGGGTACATCAGCGTTAGCATACGCGGTGGCAGTCGATTCGGGCGTGCAGCACAGCCTCCGGGGGTTAAAGAAACTGAGATACGGTAATCGCCGACTCAACCAATTGTACAATAAAAGATGGACGTTTACCGGGTATTTCATATGCTACCCAGGCGAGTGACTGCGTCAATGTGATCACTAACCAATAACTCCTAGCCACGTCCTCTAGCTACTGCGCTAACCGATTTTCGAGCAAATTATCCGAGGTTGTGCATATTATCATGTCACGACTTGGCCTAGCATCTATAAGTTTTTGCCCCTTGAATGTCAAATTTAATACAACAAATGAGTCGCTTCACCTGATTTGGTCATGATATGACTGACGACCCACCATAGTCGCTATTCTTGTCGCAAGTGCTAGGGCAGTACGGCTCTGGAAGGGATCAGTTTTGGGCAGCAGCACGGCAAGAATCCCCAGTTGCAACTAGCGCCTTTCTCCTCGGCTCAAAGTGCTCGCCACGCACCCGAACCGGGTTACGATAACCCAGTGGACGTGTGTGTCTTGAGTATCGCACTGCTGGTCGCAAATATATGAAGTACTCACTCGTTACACAATAAGGAGTCGCTCACGACTCGCCTCCGAGACCCAATATGCTCTCCACGATCGGTTCTACAAATGAGCTCATAAACAACCTACCAGTAACCTGGTCACCGCATCTTGCAGCCATGCGCGAGCGTACCACACGGAGTTCAAGCAGGTGACTCTGGCACTGATAATACTAGTAACGAGCCATGGGAGGACGGATGCATATTCTCATGCCACATTGGAAAGCGGGCGTTGTTTCCCGTAGTATCATATATTTTCAAGAGGTCACATTTTCTCAGAAGACATTCTAAGCATTTTTCTTACCTCTCCGCACAGATCGTAGTCTAGGTTCCATTATATGCCAAAATTGGCCGCAAATCGGAATACCTTGTTAAGTCAAAGTGTATCTCGATAAGCAAGAACGCCTATACCTCTTGCGCAGTGAGGATATCCATGGTGAAGGAAGCAAGATGGAGATAGGGCCACGTAGTGCGACAAGGAGCTGTTAACTCCTTCTTTACTGGCTCATGAAAAATACTCTGAGGGAATTGGGTACAGCATCTAGTACATATACTGTACTTTTAATTCCGAATGATATTACGTTCGTTCAATCGTTATCAGAACGGATCGATCATGGTTGAATTTTCGTCACAGTGGCCGAGTGCCTATGGCATAGAGACAAAGCCAGGATTATAAGTGTCTATCGAGTTAGCACGCCCACGGAAGTGTGCGCCCATGTCATCCCTCATACGACAGATTGAGTAGAATATGACTCAAGAACGGGGGAATCTTTTGAACAACCGGCACCTACTAAGAAACTCAGCTCAATGAGTATAATTGACAGGACATAGTGTTTGCCCTAACCCTTTATTGGAATTGCTAAGCCGTATCTTCTGTCGCGGGACTCGTTGTTGAGCTGTCCCTCGGAATTTCCGTCTCACTTATCGATCAAATCGAGAGCGAATCTATGCAGTACTATATAATCCTTAGGGACCTGCTCAAGACCGCAGCCCATGTTTAGCTAGCGCCAGGACCCGGGACTGCAGGCGGCGTACCCTCCCAATGTTATCACTTCCCGATACCCCAACGTAATCCTATCAATGTTTTCCACCGTCCTCCCGTACCTCGCGGTACACTCTATAGAGAGATTCGAAAGACTCTACACGCACGATGGCTTATTGCAATATGAGGCTTTGGGCGTTTCGTAATCGGGGGGAATACGTTCGAACGCTGAACGTGGGTTTGCGGTCAAATCAACTTGGAATTTCTTGGGTTTCGCATAGCTTAAGTCGTTGTCATATATCGCTCTGCAGGAAGGCATCCTGCTAACAGCTTTGGCTTCGTGCTATCCCGGAGTTAACAAGGTATATTACCCATAAAGTAGTTGCTTAGAGTGGCCTTAGCCTCTCGGTTGAGGTACCACAGCGACCATCCTGAGACCGCCGCCGCAATCGCCATCAGGTAACATCTGCCGACCTAAAGGAGTTTGGATGCGGTCTCTAGCTGGAATTCGCAGACCGCAATATGGAATCCCCTGATGGTTGATGCCAGTTTCGGTACTTGTATACTCATAAGTGTTGTGGATTCAAAGATATTAAAGGAACAACACCCTCGCATTCCCGCTACTGGTGACCCCAGGGGGCACCCTTGCCTTGTCATGATGATATTCTAATTTTCAGGTGTATTACTCCGCCCTTCCAGTTAGCTAAAGGCACAAACTTCTGCGGGGGCTTATTAAGATCCGACAGATGTAGACCCGGCGGACTTCGGGGAAGCAGCTATTTTTAAGAGACCGAGAGATAACGTGTAAGGACGTCAGGATCGTATTAGCAAAATCTACACCATCCATATATTTCCATTGACATTGTGGCCCCCGATTCAGTTTAATTCGGTCACCAGAGTGTCTGCACTACGCGGTTAAGTGGACCGCGTACCTTTCTTCCCATGTTTTGCCCTTAGATTTTATTCGTCGTCGTAACTGACGGGGGTCTCAGGTTGAGTGGCATATCTTCCGTGTCGAGTGTAACGTTAGGACCGGAAAGGAACAATAGCAGAACTTGCCATCTCTGCCTTCTGAGACCTCCTACACGCTAGCTCAGGTGTCGTACAACCTTTGTCTGCTGAACACTCCGTTGTAATCAAAGGGCGTCCCTGACGTCCCGGAACGGGTTGCTCCTCACCTACTTAAGAACATTAAGTCTCGCAGAAAGTGTATAGGATGGCTAGTTACTATCGTCCGGCGGATTGACGTAAACTTAATATGAGCGTCATCGTATTCTAACTGGAGAAGTGTTTAGCGAGTAATCCACACGCTCTCGAAAAGGTATATTTTTCACATTGTAGTCGCGAGTTAACAGCCCTATTACTACATCAAATGGCGTTCGTGTATAAAGGTGAGCACCTCTCTACCCCCGGACCATTACCCGAGGGAAGACTGACTGACGCTATGACCTTTGTACTACGGAGCCTTAGTATGATGCATGATGCGTAGATAGCATAATTGCCTACGTGTACTCTCGCCGCATAATCCAAGCCTGTGGGGGTGTCTCGGCGGGTGCACAGGTCACGATAGACCCAGACTGGCTTTTACCCTTCGTAGTTTATCTGAATTATCGACCTGCCACAATTCTCGTATTCAGAATCAAACTCGATTTACTGATATTCTGATAAACAGCACAGCCGGACGTGACGGAAGGAGACCATACACGGGAGGGCGTACGATTTTGTAAGCGCTGTCGCGCATCCGTTAAGAAGGATCATATTAAACCTAGGCGAGAGATGCGTAGGATTTAGTTTTGATGCCTAGAAACTAGGACGCTGTTCAATAGTTGTGACAGGAGCATCCATGGGTGATCCTTCCCGGTTAGTAGTGATGCCCGGGCCTTCAAAAACTCTCCTTGGACAGCGTCACGGACTCGCGATGGTACGTATCTGGTGGCAGTTAACTCGCCTCCCTTTCTATCAATTTATAGGCAACCGAAGGAGAGCCATATTTGACGACGTTTCCAGCCCTATGGAGTCGCAATATTAGTCTAGTCTACTGCGGTTTATGGTGTATCCTATTTCCAAGGTACTACTAGCAGTTTTTTTCGCATAACTTTGCAGGCAAATCTTTTCGTTACTGAGGCAGCTTTTCGTCCGCCAGAATATTGTGCTAGAGAATATGTTTGCTTAGCAGACTTCGCCTCTCGTTCAATAACGCCAAACCTCTCGGTGGCTTTATGTCGTTCCGCCGGAATCCCGTGGAAGCTTGCTTTAGGATCAGTTAATTACTTTACGCGGGGGTTAGAGAACGAGCGGACCAACGTCAACGCACCTGTCAGATCTTGACCACATGTTATACCTCACGACATCGGGGGCGCTTCGCGAGGGGTACCCAGTTTAACGTCCTAGGGTAGAATTTTTGTATTTGAGAGTTCAGACAAACTTAGCAGCAAGGTTGATGGAAACCACATTCACCTTGACTTGTACCACTCAATACATGCCACATATCATAACTTTTTAGGGTGGAAAGTTACTCAGCGTACCTCGTCTCGCCCAATGGCCAGGATTAGGCACTGGCGTATCAAGCTTCGGCCCAACGTAGACTCGCTGAAAAGTTCTAATACCCGGACGCCTTAACTTCGGATACCCTTATGGCGGACTGGTACGCAGCGATGGCGCGACACAGACATGTGTTAGGATGTCTGCGGTCAATCACATTTGACCTCTTACTGGGAACCAGGTTATAAACCAACTCCTCCGGGTGCTAGACAATCATGCATTCTGTTCTGGCGTCTCCCACGATGAGGTAGCCAACTCGATACTTTTGATGACTGCCGACGGGTATGCATTAGACGCATGTAGGAGTTTCAGTATCTTCTTGCTGGAACCACAGCGTGCAGACTGAGGGATGGTAAGGGCTGCATGCATTACGTCGGGACAAATGGGGAGCTGAACACTGTAGCCCAACGTCCAGCGCCGTTGTGCTAGCGGCAACGCACGCGGGTCGTGAAGAATCTTAAAGCTTAGTGGACAATCGCCATTGTAGAACTCGAGGGCATTGTAACAACATGGAGGCGCACCGACCGTGGTGAGGTAAGAATTAAATCTCCGCGCTCTCCTCCGCAACGGTTTGACCTGCAATACGCCGGTACTAGACCCAGCGTACGGCCAATACTGGTACCAGATAGGTGCGATCGCTTATATTTAACGGGCGTCAAGATTGCGAACCTCCTAGGCTACACAACGCAAAATCTGGACACTGGTCGATGTGAAAATTTTCAGCTTCGCCGTCGGCAGTAGTGATAACCCTAATATCGGACAGTGTTAAATTGAAGTCGTACCGGTAGGAGGCTGGGCGGGGGCTGCCGTCCTCGTAGTTACGTGGTGTATCTCTTAAAGACTGAAGCCATACTTACCGATCAAATCCTCCACGTATCGCTGGACTATGCTTGGCACGCATTCACGTCTTTCCTCGTCATCACCGCAGCCAGCAGCAGGATTTAAGTCGTGAACGCGACGCCAAGCTCGCTAATTGCGTGACGACCAGGTATTCAGTGAAGACGGATGGTATTCAAGGCTTCGGCAAAGGTCACACTGCAGGAGCTTGCGACTGTAGCATTGTCACCCTCTATGCGAGCCTGCACCGCTAGATATGTTACCCTCTGCTAAGGTTGTGGCGTTGAGATTGTGTTCCATCCGACGGATATCGGACCATAGCCTACGTTTTAAGTTGGGCCTTCGAGAGGAGCCTAATGTCTCACTGACAGGCCCTGAAGAAAGTCTGTTGGTGGTAGTCTGAGGGCTTAATTCTTATGTCTTGCCTAAAAATTCCAAGCGTTCTGGCCTCCGAAATTAGAAACTGCATCAGTCTTCTCGGACAGTCAACTACGGCGAATGGTGGACTCCGGTTTACTTGTTATCTCCCCCTGGTTGCTGGTAACAATCACAATAACTGTGGTTTCTTCAAGTTCAGCGGTCACCCGAAGCCCTATGACGAGGTACTTCTGGTGTCTTTGAACTCGAGAGTTGTGGACGCAAGGGTTTCGCGCATCTTGAAGCTAAAAGGAAGTTGTGGGCTTGAGAACTCAGGATTATAATCTGCCAACGCCCCCTTGGACGCTAGGCGAACTTACCTTTGTTAGTCCCTCTGCTCCTGCCTGACATTTTCGGAGTTGCGTCCCTTCTCCGACGAAGAGTCCAATCCGAACAGGACTAGGTGCGGGCTTCTGCCTCGGGTCATAATTCAGCATTAGGCTCATAAAGACTTCCTATAGGTCGGAGTTCAACGGGCTCGCAATTAGAGGGCGGGAGGCTATTAGCTCCAAGTTCTGCTACTCTGAGCGCACGTCCGTGAGGAAAGAGCCCGAGCAGCGGGCAGGGCTATATCCGGGATCCGCGTCAGACGAGGTCACTACCGGCTCTATATTTTCCTACCGCGCCTATAAACATACACTGTTCTACGCACGCATTACTTTTCTATATTTGTCTTTACCATATTGTTATTAAGACCAACAGTCAGTTCGACATTCCGCCGGTATGTGGTCCACAACAATACAAGGTGATGCTCTATAGTTTCGAGAGTATACCCACTTCGCCCGCCGTAGCAGTGGATCCCAGATTTACACGTGACACTTCACTTAGTCCGCAAAGCTGGTTGGACCAATATACCAGATAAATCAACACTACGCCAGTGATCTGTAGCTGATTTTAAAGCTTACTAATCAATCTTTTCGCACTCATTCCCCTCTGTCTCGACCGGGGTGTAGTCCGTGGTTCCAAGCGGTTGCTGGTGGTCTAGGTTTAAACATTCGCCTTGTCCTAGTGGGCCTCTCCAGACTATACCTAACAAGGTAACCTGAAGGGTGTAAACGGACCAAGTATAACTGTCTCATCCGGCCGTCGATGGTTGAATAATCCCATTTGTCGAATGTAATACCCGTAAGCATTCTCACGAACGGGAATTACTGGCCCCTGACTTATATGCATCGTGCCGACGTCTGCTGTTATGGCAATGGATCGCGTGGTCGGCAATCTCGTTTGAGACAAAGAAATATGCAAGTAGAGTAAGCTTTAGATTGTTCCTTCAGCCGCCCGCTCACTACCACGAGAGCCGAGTCCAACCCCTGGTGGGGGTGATTGTTCAATAATGAAATGTCATTTTAAACGCTTACACCGGACAGGACTGCCCAGTTCCCTGTGATTCAGGAGTATCCCTCAGCCGCAATATAAGGAATGCGCAGGAGCATCTGATGCCCACACAACTAGCACAATTTGTCACGGAAGCTACGCCGATGCGGCGCTTAAAATTTGGATCAGATCCGTCAGAATTACGTACCAATCAGCCGAGCTTAATGGGGCTTGCAGCTGCGAGAGGCACTTAAACCACGTCCCTGCTTTCATCAGAGGCCCGCCTGACAAAGCTAACTGCGGGATGGCATTAATGGGGCCGATTGTGATTGGCCACGAGTAGGCGA